ATCATAAAGTTTTATCCTTCACTTACTTGATGAGATCTACTTATTGATTGCATTTGTTCAACCATCCCTGCATCCCCGGGATAAATCCTACTTTATTGTAGTGAATGATCTTTCTGAAGTGCTACAGGATTCAGTTTGCTCATTTTTGCTGAGTTTTTTCATCTATATACACCAGGGATTGGCCTATAGCTTTTTTGTTGTGTCCTTGCCTTGTTTTCGTATCAAGGTGATGCTGGTCTCATAGAACGAGTCTAGAAGAGTTACCTCCCTTAAATTTTTTTGAGGTTTTAGGACTGGCACAAGCTCTTCCTGATAAGTTTGAAGACTTTTATTACTGATTCAATCTCAATCATTATTGCTCTGTTCGTGTTTTCTGTGCTCATGGTTCAATTTTAGTAGGTTCCATGTGTCCAGAACCTTAGGTATTTCTCCTAAGTTCTCTAATATGTTGTCATAATAGTTGACCATTAATAGTCCCTAATATTCCTTTGTATTTCTGTGGTACTAGTTATCTCTTTTTCATCTCTCATTATTTAAATATTTTTTTCTTGGCTAGTCTACCTGAAATTTGTTGATTTCATTTCTCTTTTCACAAAACCAGCTCTTCATTTCACTGGTCTTTTTTAGGGATGGTAGTCTCTATTTCACTTATTTCAGCCCCAATCTTTATTATTTCTCTCCTTCTACTACCTGAAAGGTTTGATTTAGTATTGCTTTGCTAAGTCTTTGAGATGCATAATCAGCTTGCGTGGATATCCTTCTGGCGTCTTGAGCATTTCTTGTGTGTTTCCTTACAACTGGTACATCTTTGTGTCTGTTTTAAGGATTTGCCCATTTTCTGTGTTTTTTTTGGTTGTTGTTGTTGTTATCTCATTTTTTTAAGATTTAGAGATACAGAGAAAGACAGGGAGAGACAGGGAGAAAGGTTTTCCACCCGCTGATTCACTCCTTGAATGGCCATAACAGCCGGAGCTGGGCTGATCTGAAACCTGGAGCCAGGAGCATCTTCCAGGTCTCTCACTTGGGTACAGGGGCCCAAGCACCTGGACTGTCTTCTACTGGTTTCATTTGCCATTAGCAGAGAGCTCAAGAAGAAGAAGAGCAGCTGGGACACAAACCAACACCAATCTTGAGAGTTCTTTATATATTCTGGATTTCTGGATATAAGGGGTTTTTTTTAATCAGATGTTTGCTTTACAAATACTTTCTCCCAGTCTTTGGTTTATTTTTTTTTCTCAATGATGTCTTTCAAAAAATAGAAATTTTAAATTTTGATGCAGTCCAATTTATCAATCTCTTCCCTATGAGTTGTGCTTTTAGTGTCAGATCTCGGAATTCTTTGTGTAATCCCAGATAATAAACACTCTCCTGCTGTAATTTCTTTTAAAAGTTTTATACCTCAGGTTCATGGTTAATAGTCCATTTTCAGTTAATTTTCGTGTAGCATGTGAGGTTCAAGTCAAAGTCCATTTCTTTGCATATGAATGTCCAATTGTTCCAACATTATTTGTTGGGAAAAATTATCTTTTCTACAATGAAGTGTCTCCTAAGTCCGTTTTCCACAACCAAGAGAATCTGTTTCTGAACTATTGTGTTCCATTGATCCATATGGCTAGTCTTCATCAATGCCACACTGTCTGAATTACTGTAGCATTATAAAGGGGTCTTAAATTTAGAGTGTTTGAATTCTGGGGCCAGCGCTGTGGTGCAGCAGGTTAAAGCCCTGGCCTGCAGTGCCAACATCTCATATGGGCACCGGTTAAACTCCTGGTTGCTCCACTTCCAATCCAGCTCTCTGTTGTGGCCTGGGAAAATAGTAGAGTATGGCCCAAGTCCTTGGGCCCCTGCACCCATGTGGGAGACCCGGAGGAAGAGGCTGGCTCCTGGCTTTGGATCAGCTCAACTCCAGCTGTTGTTCTAAAACTTTGCTCCTTTTCAAATTTGTTCTGATTATTCTTGTTTCCTTTCCTTTCACATAAAGTTTAGAATCATCTTAGTACTAGAAAATATTGGGCTTAAATTTTTATAGGAATTGCATGAAATCTTAATTAATGAAAGGATTAGCAAACTGTGTCTCCACCACGCCATGCAGTACTACTGAGCAAGATAAAGGAACAGGATACTGATGCACTCCAGAGCACGGATGAACACCAGATGCACTACGCTCAGTAAATGAAGCCAGGCCCCAGAGTTTATGTGACCGCAGGATTCCATTTATATGACATCTTTGCAATGGATGAATGTCCCCTCCCTGATGATGATCACACGATCACACACTTTTCAAAATCCCCAGAATAACACACTAGAAAAGGTGACTTTTACTCAGTTCTGAAAATGGAAATCACTGGGTTGGGGAGGATGGAAGGGGGGATCTGGCACTGCTTAGAATCCCTTTGGCTTCCTTCACCAAGCATGGGCTGAGTTCCCATGCCCTGGGAGTGTGACTTCCCCCGGCTCTCTCTCAGCACCCACCACAGCACCACCACCCTCCACCCCCCAAGAGCCCACGGACCGTGGGGCTTCCAGAGCTGCCAGGTTCGCAACTGCCTTGTCCTCCTGGCCAAAAGCCTCTCACTCAGCCTCCAGGGGAGCGTCTCACAAATCCAGCAGGAGACAAGGCACAGTTATCCTTTGGGTGGGGGAACAATGTGGCGATCCCTGGTTGGAGCCAGCATGAATCCAAGAATGCATAGAGTTTCCCCTTGGCAAAGCCCAGTGGCTGGGCCCCCAGACGCATACTGCTAGTGTGACTTCAGGTTACGCCCACCCTCATCCGCCTGCCTCCCTTCCTGCTCTCCGCAAAACCTCCTAAAAGCCTCTCGGACTCCCACTGGCAGGGAGGCCTGTGTTTTCTCTCACACAGAGTAATTTCTGCCCAGGGATCTTCCTGCCACCATTTGTCAAGCAAATTAGTTTGCCAGAGCAAATTAAAAGTCGCTGCTAAAAGCACGACACAGCGCGGCTGTAGAGTCCTTGCTCTCATCAACCTCAGCCCACATCCTGCAGTTTCCTCAAGGCGGCCACCTTCAGAGCCTGGGACACTTGCGGGCTTGCCCTGAGCTGCTGACCCGTGCAAATGCTTCAAGAACTGGATGCACCTGCTGAGTACCCGTCCCCAGAGTGACTGTGGCTGAAGTGGTGATGAGAACAGTTAGCTCTTCTGATAGGACAGGGGTGGGGTGCAGACTACTTGGCTCAGGGACACGCTGCAGGTGCCAGCCCCTCTGCACATGAGGAAGATTTACAAAGCCATTGTACACACAGGGCTGTGACACCAGATGTCTCCCATCTGGGTGACAGGGAACACAGCCCCCTTAACCCCGTGTGGGAAGCTGAGCATCTTCACCAAAACCCTGCAGAATCCCGAGGGGCCCGCACCTGCGGTGTCCCCAGAAGCATTAGGACTTCCTCACACCTAGGCTGCATCAGCCTGAACAGATGGGAGGTGAGCTTTGTCCCAGCTCTGTGTCTCTCTCAAAGACACCTCGTCCCCAGGAGGGGCTGAGGGCCAGATGTCAGAATACTACAGGCCCTTCCCTAGCCCAAGCCCAGCAAGGGCCGGGGAGCTCAGGCCCACTCTTCCTGCCCCTACTCCGTGCCTTTCACGGGTCCAAGGCCACATGCTTTCCATGAGTGCCCAAGCAGGTGCACCCATTCCTTTAATGTCCCAGTCCATCCCTACCAGCCCAGCCCAGTCTCTCACCTGTTGCTCGCACATCCTGCCATACCCACCTCCTTCTCTGACTGTGAGGGTCCCCAACCCCTTCCTCTCCCACAGGGTGACAGGACCCCAGACTTCAAGTATCACCTCCTCTCCTTGAGTTATGTGGCCTACCCAGAGTTCTCTGCTCACTTGTCCTCTTCTGAGAGCCAAAAATCAAAGCTAATAGTCAAGCTGCGGGCCGGCACCGCAGCTCAATAGGCTAATCCTCTGCCTGCGGTGCCGGCACACTGGGTTCTAGTCCCGGTAGGGGCGCCAGATTCTCTCCCGGTGCTCCTCTTCCAGTCCAGCTCTCTGCTGTGGCCCAGGAGTGCAGTGCAGGATGGCCCAAGTCCTTGGGCCCTGCACCCGCATGGGAGACCAGGAGAAGCACCTGGCTCCTGGCTTTGGATCAGCGCAGTGCGCCAGCCGCAGCACACCGGCCGCAGCAGCCATTAGGGGGTGAACCAACGGAAGGAAGACCTTTCTCTCTGTCTCTCTCTCCCTCTCACTGTCCACTCTGCCTGTTAACAAAAAAAAAAAAAAAAAAAAAAAAAAAAAGTCAAGCTGCAAGGAACTTCTGCGGGGGCTGAGTGCGAAGCCGACTGCTCCTGGGGGAGGGGGCATACTTGCAAACCCTGCAAACTGAACAGTATCCTAGGGAGCCCACCAACAGGGCGGCCTTTCAAAGCTGTGAACCTGGGAGGCCCTTCTTTCCTTCCTACCTGTGGGGGAAACCGTCCTACTAGACTGACTTGGTTCGCTCTAGGTGCTTTACTGCCACCTGCTGGACACTTCTTGTAATACACACACCTGTCAAGGGAGTGGCCCCTGCTTCGATGTGGAGCTATGGTACCCTGCTTGCCCAGCAGGACAGAGCCACAGCCTGTCCTCATCTAAAGCCCAGGCCCCGGAGCCCTTGCACACAGCACAGCACCTGAGCACTGGCACGGCAAACCCCATGTGCCTTCACCTGTGGCCCACCCTTGCTAAATCACCAATAACCAGGCAGCCAGGTGCAGGGAGAATCTCATGCTATACCCAGCCTTTGCAACAAAGCATCCTGGACAAGTGAGTTTGTTATTAGATTAGTGCTTGAAACATGCAGTGCTGCCATGCCCCGGAGAGCAGTCAGACCAAAGGCCATGGATTAATCCCATTTTTAGGGTCTCTGTTCTGATGCTGTGACACCTGGGGCCTTGCCAACCAGGGGGCACAGCCCCTGCCAGGGTGAACCAGTTCCTAGAGACAGTCCTGCACTTTCACATGCACACCGGCACACCCCCACCACCTCACTTACCAGTGTGCACACTCTCAGCCACTCTCCGTTGCCCAAGGTGCCCAGGGACAGGCACCAGACCCGAGGAAAGCCCTTGCCCCAGAACCTGTTAAATATAAGCAAAACAGCCAATCCATGTTTACTGAGATGGCCATCTGGGCCGCCAGCTGTACTCTCTTCATTATTTCTCTTCCCTAAACTTTGATATCATGCTTACCACTACTCTGGCTCACATCTGAATTTTTTCTTGTGCAAAGACAAGAACCCCAAGCAACCAATCCCCGGCAACAGTCAATGGAACCACAAGGCCCCATTCCTAGCACCTGGTGTCTCTCACCAGAGTTTCCTCTCCTCCTCATCATCGTGAAGCCAAAAAAATGTGTCCCAACAATCATACAAAGCAGTTTTCAATGTTTAGATATATTCGAAGAAAAATGTTTTCTTTCTCTACTATTCAAACGCAAGTAAATCTATATGCACATCTTCTCAAATAGGGGACTTGGAGACGGAAATCTGGGCCATTTCCATTACCAAAACACAACAACACCCTATTCAGGTTAATGGTACTTGCTTCATACTTGTGTAACTCAAAAAAAGGGGGGTCAACTCCCAGCCCACCCCTGCTGCCCTGTTCCTTACTATGAAAACCATAGCCATAGGGGCCAGCTCTGTGGCACAGCAGGTTAATGCCCTGGCCTGGGGCGCCGGCATCCCATATGGGCATGGGTTCGAGACCCAGCTGTTCCACTTCCGATCCAGCTCTCTGCTGTGGCCTGGGAAAGCAGTGGAGGATGGCCCAAGTCCTTGGGTTCCTGCATCTATATGGGAGACCTGGAGGAGGTTCCTGGCTCCTGACTTCAGATCAGCACAGCTCCAGCCATGTGGCCAATTGGGAAGTGGACCATCGGGTGGAAGAACTCTCTCTCTCTCTCTCTCTCTGCCTCTCCTCTCTCTGTGTAACTCTGACTTTCAAATAAAATAAATAAATCTTTAATAAAAAAAAAAAAGAAAAGAAAAGAAAACCATAGCCATAGCCATAACTAAGCCTTAACTTACTCGCGCTCCTCTGCCTCTTCCCTGACATGCACCCTCCTCTGGGGAACTGTGAGTAGCAAACTCTTTCCAGTGGCAGTCCTCTCCTGACCTGCTGGGCTTTCTGTACTACAAAGTTTCTATTAATCACTGTGCTTTCAAAGAGATCGTTAAAAAAAAATAAAGGAGTCCCTCATTGGCATGTTAAATGCCTGTATCCAAAGGTGTGATCCAGCTTCCTGGCTCTGGCTCCCAGCAGCCTCTGTTCCCCACCCCAGCCTGTAACCCACTGCCCTCAGAGCATATCCAGGAGCTGTGCACCCTCCCTGAGCTGTATCGCTTGCTGTGGCCCGATCTCATTTCTACTCCGGTTATGGCCTGCACTGTCTGCCTAGCGTGTGTTGCAAGAACATATGAAACAAAAATCTCTCATCACTTAAAAGACACCTTCTCACAAGTTAGAGAGGGCAAGAGCTCTGGGGTCCAGCCATCTGCACTCCAACCCAGACCTCTGTGCAGCTGAGTAGCACTGAGCAAGTGTCTTAAGCTCCCTGTGTCTCAGCTTCCTCATGTGTAAAGTAGGACAATGACAATAAGCCTTATTTAAGGGAGGGGCACTGTCCCAGCAGTCAAGATGCCACTTGGGATGCCCATATACCAAATCAGAGTGCCTGGGTTCAAGCATCAGCTCTGCTCCCAACCTCAGCTTCCTGCTTACATGCACCTGGGAGGAACCAGGTGAGGGCTCAAATATCTGGGTCTTTACCGCCCACATGAGACCTAGACTGGGTGAGTGAGTTCCTGGCTCCTGGCTTTGGCCTGGCCCAGCCCTGTCCATTGCAGGCCTTTGGAGAATAAAACAGCAGTGGGATATCCTTCTCCCTGTCTCTCGCTCACTCTACCTCTCTCTCTCCCTCTGCCTCCCTCCCCACTTCTGAATAAATGAAAAATATTTTTAGGAGTTCACTTAGGAGGGTTCAATAGGTTAATGTGTGTGTAGTGCTGAAAGCAGTACCTGGCTCTGAGTAAGTACCAGCTATAATCAATTCAACCTTTTAAGGATGTGCAAAGTGAAGAGAGAGAGAACCATTCATTCTGACGTCGAGAGGATGAGATGTTGTAAGTCAGACCAAGTACACAGCGCAATGAATGCTAGCTACTGTCTTCATCAGCACCTCCCTCTCTGGGACCAGTTGGAGCCAATCTCTGAAGCTCTCCCACCTGCTCTGGTCTCTCCTTTCCACATACCCTGCACGATTCTCATCCGCCCCAGGGGCAGATCGTTTTCCAGATATACCACATGGAGGGGCCGGCACTGTGGATCATTTGGTTAATCGTCCGCCTGCAGCGCTGGCATCCCATATGGGCACCAGGTTCTAGTCCCGGTTGCTCCTCTTCCAGTCCAGCTCTTTGCTGTGGCCTGGGAAGGCAGTGGAGGATGGCCCAAGTGCTTGGGCCCCTGCACCCACATGGGAGACCAGGAGAAGCACCTGGCTCCTGGCTTCGGATCAGCGCAGCGTGCCGGCCGTAGTGGCCATTTGGGGGGTGAACCAACCGAAGGAAGACCTTTCTCTCTCTCTCTCTCTAATTCTGCCTGTCCAAAAAAAAAAAAAAAGTTCATGGAAAATGATATTAAAAGATAAGTTTTTTACAGTTTTTTTTTTTTTTGACAGGCAGAGTTAGATAGTGAGAGAGAGAGAGACAGAGAGAAAGGTCTTCCTTTTCCGTTGGTTCACCCCCTAAATGGCCGCCACGGCCAGCGCCCTATGCTGATCTGAAGCCAGGAGCCAGGTGTTTCCTCCTGGTCTCCCATGCGGGTGCAGGGACCCAAGCACTTGGGCTATCCTCTGCTGCCCTCCCAGGCCACAGCAGAGAGCTGGACTGGAAGAGGAGTAACTGGGACAGAATCCGGCGCCCCAACCGAGATTAGAACCCGGGGTGCCGGCACCACAGGCAGAGGATTAGCCAAGTGAGCCGTGGTGCAGCCAAGTTTTTTACAGTTTTAAAGAAGGTACATATATGAAATGAATTTCAAAACTTTTTGCTCCAAAATAAACTTATGCCTTATTATATGAACTTTTTGGTGCTTTGTTTAGTTTTTCAAGATTTGTTGATTTATTTATTTGAAAGGCAGTTACAGAGGGTAAGAAGTGTCTTCCATCCTCTGGTTCACTCCTCAAATGGCCACTATGGCCAGTCCAAGTCAGACAAAAGCCAGGATCCAGGAGCTTCACTCAGGTCTCCCACATGGGAGGCAGGGGCCCAAGCACTCAGGCCATCTTCCACTGCCTTCCCAGGTGCATTTAGCAGGGAGCTGGATAAGAAGCAGAGCAACAGGGACTCTAACCAGTACTAATAAGGGATGCTGGCATCGCAGGCAGCAGCTTAACCCACTGCACCACAACACAGGCCCCTCCATTAACTTTTTGAAGTCTCCTCCTATTTGAGTCTTGGATTTCAGTGAACACCACATCGGGGATATGAGACACAAGGGAAAACTACCCAAGACGCAAGCCCAGGTGTATCCTAAGAGTCACACACAGGTGCCATGCACATCACAAACACCAGTTAAAACCACACAGCGTGTTTGTTAGGGTTGGCCAACACAGCGTCTGCCTCGGCAATGAGTGTGAATATTCTCAGACACTGTCCAGCTTGCTGCAGCCCACTGCTCCCAAGATCTCTCATCCACGCATGCATCCTACCTGTCTGGCCACTGCAGCCTCAGTGTTTGCAACCTCTGCGTGCTGCATCCAGTCCAAGAACACAAGGCCTATGTCCAGCAAGCTGGCTCTTCCCCATGCCTTCCTGTGTGCATTTCAGCATTAAAGTGACCCATTTTCCCAGGAGGTTCTGAGATGGGCTTAGGAGGGGCACAGGGAAACCTGGAGGCTTACCCTCTATTCATCACCTTCTGCAGGAAGGCATGGTGGCCAGCCCATGTTGGTTGCTGTGGAACAATAACAAGAGGAGGAGCTCAACCACAGGGCCTCACAGTACCTGGACATTCCCCAGAAGCCCCTGCTGAAGCAGCTCCTGGCTTGCAGCTCGCAGCTCTTGCAGAACCCAAAGCCTGAGGCTGCTGAGAGCCGGCACAGCCTGGCGCTGGCTCAGATCCATGGGGGCTCCGTGCCCAGGAGCATCCAGGCATTAGCGAGTCCTCAGACGTGACCTCACAGATCATATCTATAGGGGTTGGAGGCGGAATGAGGAGCTTCAGGACACACAGGGACATTTCTGAGCAGAATTTCTCCACCCCTGAGCTGAGAGTGTAATGAGAGGGAAGGAAGACAGGTGGGCGTCTGGTCCCGGCCTCAGCTCACTCTGCCAGGAGCACAGGGGTGCCCCTGTGACTCACTTCCCTCAGCCTCCCGCAGCCTCTCTCCCCGAGGACTGGCCGCAGCAGGGTGCCGCGTAGGTCCCCAGGCCCTCATCTCACACCCGCTCAGCACCACACCTGGGCCAACACCCACAGCTGTTTCTCACATGCTCCCTCACGATCCCGGTGCACAGATTTCAGAAACCCTGCACCGGGAAAGCAAACAGCACTCAGGAAGGCTGCTTTTTTTTTAACATTGAAAAAGAGTTGTGCACATTTTCACATGAACACCACTGAGCCCCTCCCCTGCCCCAAGATTGCAGAAACTGTCTACCCCTGATGCCTTGCCCGGCGTTCTGAACAAGAGATTCAGATGGAGACGATACAGCCACCGTCCCAGGGCAGTCCACGGCGCGCTTCAGACAATAGACGAGAGGCAGAGGATTCAAGCTCAGGGGGTCTTTGCTCAAGGGTGCCACCATTCTGCTGGGGGCGGGTGAGGCAAGGCTCCCTGGAGGTAATCCTCGGATGGGAAATGGACATCTCTGAAACCAGGTGTCACAGGACCTGCTGCTACGGAGGGACAGCTGGTCGACCCCTGAGTCCACTGTGGCCACCTGTCTGCCAGTGAGCGCACAGTGGCTGGGGAAAGGCCTCCCTCTGTCCCGGTTCAGGCTGTGGATGTGAACAGCACTGATGTGTGCAGCACACAGTCGCCTCCCACTTGAAGGGCAAGCCACTTTGCAGGAAGAGTGTTAACCAAGGAAGTAACTGATCGACTTGGGCATGTGGGCAGCTCCCTGTGGCAGCCCATGTGGAGGGTGTGGTCAGAAGCAAAGACAAGAGCCTCGGAAACTGACAAGAAGGCTCTCTCCACTCACTGGATGAGCAGAGGAGGAGCAGCACCAGGACCCCTGCTGGAGGCCAAGGATTGGAGTCTGCACCCAAGTCAAGGGGGAGGGGAGGGATCTGACCCAGCCTCAGATCTCGAAATGCAACGTCCTGTCCCCTGCTTGCTCCACCACTCCGTCCTCCGTGCGCAGGCTCAGTCCCACATGCATCCTCACCTACCCGCAGCCATCACTGCCCTCCCACCAGCGCCAGACCCAAGACACTGTGCTCAACAGTCAAGGGAAACTCGGCACACACAGCCAACCCTTTGGGATCCAAGGGACACCTAAAATAAAGCCCTCCTGTGCAAGCTCCTGGAGGAGGTAGAGAGAGGACTGGACCAGCTCCAAGTCAGGTGACTCACAGAAGAGAGGGCGGGCTTACTCACCACCGTGGAGGGCTAGGGAAGGCACTTCCGGCCCTCGGGACAGCGGAAGTTTAGGAAACAGAGCAAGAGGACCCCTGCATATGCTCCACGTGCTCATCCTGATGCCTCCGCTGGGAGGATTTCTCTCCACTGGAAATAAATAACTCAGGGATGGGGGAGAGAATTGGAGCACTTGATCCGAGGGTGACCTTCCACTTTCCTCTATTTGTTTTTGAGATTAATCAGAGTCTTTACGGGGCGCGTGTCAATAAACAACCAGCTTTTCCAATATATACCACCTGCACATCCAATATATCCAAGAAAATAAAAATATATCCACGGGGATTAGAAGCCATGAATCACCAGGAGCCAAAGCAAAGTGCTGTAGATTTTTAATAGCCCGAACTATCTGTCTCTTCTAAATGGAAACGAAGCCAGCCAGCCAGCCCCTGCTTGTGAAAGGAAATGTGATATTCCCAGTCATATTTTCCAACACACACACACACACTTGAAGAGCTATGTTGAATGCCTGTGTCATGCATATAAACAGGACTTGAAGCTGAAACTTAAGCCTAACAGAGATGAAGAAAGGAAGGAAAGAGGGCAGGGAAAAAGAAAAGGAGAGGGCAGAGGGAGAGAAGGAAAGGAGAGAGATGAGAGGAAGCCTCAGCAGAGGGGATTTACTATTCTTGCGGGGAGTTGCAAAGTCCCCAGAGCACAGGTAAGGAGACAGCTTCTTCTGCAGCCTGCCTGCCTGTCTCCTCCAGGCTTAGTCTTTGCAGGTGCAACCTGCCTGGTAGGGAAGCCGAGAGTGTGTGCAAGCTTGCCTGGGCTGGAGGTGGCACTGCAACCCACCAGGGAAGGATACATGATTCCATCAACCATGCTAGGCATTTGCTAATTTAAATGGAAAACCGGGAAGTCAGGATCGTGACTCATACCTCCCACAAAACCAATCACAGAAGCATTGGAGATCTAAATGGGAAAAGGGGAATTTTTAACTTTAACCTGGCGTGTGTTTTAACTCGTAGGTGAAGAAAGCTGTGTCAAGAAGTCCCAGGCAGCACAGGCCATCAGTGGGAATATTGAGAAACTTGGCTACCTGCAAATTCTTCCACTTCTGCATAACAAAAAACATCAAGGGGCTGGTGTGTGGCACAGCGGTTAATTCATGGTTTGGGATGCCCACATCCCATGTAGCAGAGTGCCTCATTCGAGTGCTGGCTACTGCATCTCTGATTCAGCCTCCTGCTAATGCACACATCCTGGAGGCAGCAGATGATGGCTCAAGTACTTAGGTCTCTGCCACCCATGCAGGAGACCCAGATGGAGTTCAAGGCTCCTGGCACTGGCCTGGCCCAACTCTAGCTTTTGCAGGCATTTGGAGAGTACACTGGGGAATAGATGATCTCTCTCTCTCTCTCTCTCTCTCTCTCTCGTTTTCAAATAAAATGAGAACAATTTTTAAAAAAATTTTAAACATCATAAAGAACCTCAAAATCCAAGACAGACTGAAGGGGCAAAAAAAGAAAAACAGAGGCAAGTCCCAGAAGAGGAAGGCCAATAGCCAGTAAGCATAAGAGAAGATAAATTCCCAAGGACTCCAGGACATGCAGGCGCAGACGATACAGGACACCACTCTCCCATGGAGTGGAGCAGAACCTGTTAGCACCAAGAGGGGGGAAATTGTGGAGAAGCAGGTTGCAGGTAACCAGTAACAGTTGCACCCTGAGACTCTGTCCCAACAACTCCCTTTCTGGAGTGTTCAGTGGAAAAGCTTCACCTCTGTGCACAAGGCCACGTGTGGAGAAGGTCGCCAATGGCACAGTTGATGCTAAACACGCTGAAAGCATCCCACAGGTAAACACCAGAAGAAGAGAAATAGGCCCATGGTACATCCATGCAACATGAGACCTGATACTGAGCCAACAGGGCAAGCAAGGTGCAGGACACATTTTCAACTGCAAAACAATGCTGTGGTGGCCAGAGCTGTGGCTTAGCGCATTAGGCTGCCACCTGCGGAGCCAACATCCCATGTGGGCGCTGCTTTGTGTCTCAGCTGCTCCTCTTCTGATCCAGCTTTCTGCTGCTGCCACTGGGAAAGCAGTGGAGGATGGTCCAGGTGCTTGGGCCCCTGCACCCGCATTGGAGACCCAGAGGAAACTCCTGGCTCCTGGCTTCAAATCTGCCTGGCTCCAGCTGTTGTAGCCATTTGGGGAATAGATCAGCAGATGGAAGACCTTTCTCTCTGTCTCTCCCTCTCTCTGTCTGTGACTCTGCCTCTCAAATAAATTACTAATTTGGGGTCAGCACTGTAGTGCAGTGGGTTAAGGCCCCAGCCTGTATTGTCAGCATCCCATATGGGCACCGATTCAATCCCTGGCTGCACCACTTCTGATCCAGCTCCCTGCTAATGAACCTGAGAAAGCAGTGGAAGATGGCCCAAGTGCTTGGGCCTCTGCACCCATGCAAGAGATCCAGAAGATGCTCCTGGCTTCGAATCAGCTCAGTTGTGGCCGTTGTGGCATTTGGGGACCAGCAGATGAAAGACCTCTCTCTCTTTTTCTCTACCTCTCTCTCTGTGACTCTGCCTTTCAAATAAATAAAAATAATTCTAAAAATTAATTAAAATAAAAACCATGCTGTGTGTTGTCTGAGATACACAGCTGCATAGTGAACGTGGAAGGTGGAATAGGGGCTGGGTGGCTAACAGAGAGGCACTAACTGCTGTGTTTCTTAGAAGAGCTGAATCAGTGGGGTGGAATGTCACAATGCATCAAGCTGGTGGATGGGCACGTAAGTAGTCAAGGACTCATCTCTATTTCCTCCTGAATCTATTGAAACATTTCCTGAATTTTTTTCCTCTAACTTTATAGAGTAAATATTGACAAATAAAAACTATATATATTCAAGGTGCCCAGAGGATGATTTGATATATGTGTACATTGGGCAATGATTACAGCAATCAAATTAACCAATCTTTTATCAGTCACTGCATGTGTGTGACACCTGAGATCTGCTCTCTTAGCCAACTCCAAGTAAATGACACAGTATTATTAGCTTCCATCACTCTGAGGGGGCTCATCTTAATCACTGTCCTAAAGGAGTTCCAATAAAATGTCAGTGTCATGCTTGCTCCCCTGAAAGAATGCCATCGTCAGATGAATTTGGGAGGCAGCACTTTCTAGATCTCCCTTCTTGAGGATTCTCTCTCTCTCTCTCTCTCTATCTCTCTCTCTCTCTCTCACACACACACACACACACACACACACATACATACACTTAAAGGCTCTGAGAAGTCCTGCAGTAAAGAAATTTTGTTTTGTGGGCCTCAGCACACCCCAAGCTTCTCTAGGCACAGGGCCTCCTTTCAGCCTCTCGCCTCACAGACCCAGGGTTCCTCAGCAACACTTTGGGGGATGCTGGGCTCCCAGTCCATGGGAGCTCTGTGACAAGTGGCTGCTGCACCCTGAGACTCTGAACTGTGCCAGCCAGGCATGTGGGCGAGAAGACTGGGTGAAACCCAGGGCCAGTTTCTACAAGCAGGACCCAACTCTCACAGCTGGACTGTGGTGGAGGGGCAGTGAGGACAGCTCACCCCCGCCATGCAGACATCTCAGCACCCAAGATGAGCCCTTTAGGTTCCCATGCTGCCTCTTCCCCCTCTTCCTGGAATCCACCTCCCCTACCACCACTCTTTCAGTTGGGTTGCACTTCCAGCCCCCAAGTCAGCAATGCTGTCCTGGACTCCTCTCCCTCACCAGGACACTGCCGGGGTTTGGCCTCTGCTGTGCCTTTCACCCCTCTCATTATTCCACCTGCCCAGGTGCCAGTGATGCTCCCAGCTCCCGTGTGTCCCCTTCCAACACACCCTCCAGGCTGCCAGCCATGCAGTGACCGTGGCACTTCCTTGAGTCCCTTTCCCCCTCAACTAAACCCTTTGCACGTGGGAACCTTGCTTCTGCTCCCACCCTCACTTCCCTCATCCCTCTCTTCACACCTTAAATCCCTGCAGTTCTAATCCTCTGGCAGTTGTTCTCAGGGTGTGCAGTGGCCTTCGAGCCGGCCCTGCCCTGGAACTCTCTCAACATCTGGGCCTGGCCAGTCACCAGCTTAGCCACCACCTCCTGCAGCCAATGCCTTCAGTGCCCTTCCAGTGTGCTCCTGGGGGACAACTTTCTCACACCGCACACCTTGTATACCAAGCAAGCAAGTTAGCTGCTGTTTCTTCAGCTGGGTGTGTGACAGGTAGGAGGAGAAAACAAGGACAGTACACAGACAAACTTCACATCTTTGCTCAGCACACCCTCGAGGGCTTGGCGGATTTATGCCTTCTACACATTTTTGACACATAAAAAAGACAAGTCAAGCTATTGAGATGGGATATTAGATTTCCTTTTGGCCTCACAGGTATAATAAAGCATTGTAAAATTTTAAAGTTCATAAAATTTAAGATCTTTCTATCATTTTCCTCAAAAACACTGTCTTCCCTTCTTGCCTCTCAACACAACTGACCCATTGCATAAAATAATAACCACCAACCACCACACTGAGGGCTTCCAGGGATCAGGGTGAGCTAGTGAAAATGTGGGGATCTATTATATTCATAGTATACTTTTAAAAAGCATCTCCCCTGATCAGTTTGGCATTCACACCAATCATGAGAAAGGTGAAGCAGGAATTATTCCCATTTGTGGAGAAGTAAAGTACAACCAGGGAGGACAAGAACTTGTTTAAATATTTACTGATTAAATCAAACTCAGAAGTTCTTACTACTGACAATTAACATATGTGGCAAACCATGTTCTCCACTTTCCATACATGATCTCAGCTCATCTTCCCAACCATGCTGTTAAGTGCGTGCTTATTATTATCGTTCCCATTTTTAGATGAGAAGTTGAGTTTCTTTCTGTTCAACTACAATCTCTACAAAGGACTCTAACGGTCATGGGTCTTGATTATAAGTGACAGAAACTCGACCTTGCTGCTATTGAAAGAGAGTACAATGGTTAAAAATTGCATGGGATTGGTTAAAAAAAATGTTACCTGGAAAGATGAATTGTCAGACTGCTCTAAGATAGCTCTGAAAAACTGTATATGAAGGTTGCCAAGACAACTTAGAGAATTGTAAGGCAATTGATGACCTCACCATGAATGAATGAACCAACCAGGATGGCCACAAGCTCAGTGCTAAGACTGTTTAGACTGGGATATTAAAGATATACAGGGACACGCATTTAGCTTAGCAGTTAAAGCATCCTGGGGGCCAGCGCTGTGGTGTAGCAGGTAAAGCCGCTGTCTGCAGCACCAGCATCCCATATGGGCACCAGTTCAAGACCTGGCTGCTCTACCTCCAATCCAGCTCTCTGCTATGGCCTGGGAAAGCAGTAGAAGATGGCCCAAGTCCTTGGGCCCCTGCACTCCCTTGGGAGGCCTGAAGAAGTTCCTGGCTCCTGGCTTTGGATAGGCCTAGCTCTGGCCATTACGGCCATCTGGGGAGTGAACCAGTGGATGGAAGACACCTTTCTCACTCGCTCTCTCTCTCTCTCTCTCTCTGTCTCTCTGTAACTCTGCCTTTCAAATAAATAAATATTTAAACTAAAAAAGATGCCTGCATCCAAATTCTTGGGTTTGAGTCCTAGCTCTGTTACTGATTCCAGCTTCCTGCTAATGCCAAGCATGGGAAGCAGCAAGTGATGGCTCAAATAATTGGGCCCTTGACACTTGTGTGGGAGACCCAGGTTGAGTTCCCAGCTCCCAGCTGAAGCCTGGCCCACACTCAGTTGTTGCAAGTATTTAGGGAGTGAACCATTAGCCTGGAGAGCCACCCCCGTCTGCCTCTCAAACAACAAAAAAAATATTAAATACTTCAAATCCTTGCAACATTTCAAAAAATACATAATAGTGACTATTATAAATTTAAAGAGAAAAACAAAATATATAAAAGGAGATGGAGATGTAATGAAGTAAAATATATTATTAGTGTGAGAAGAAACCACTAACTTCATGGAGAAATATTAGAGTGACAAACAGATATAAGGGAAGCTGCTGAAAAGTAGGCCATTACAATCACATTACAAAAAGAAACCAAAAGAAAAATTTTCCAGGAAATGTAAATTGTCACAGTAAAGGAGAGACACCAGTATCTAGAATTACTGCTGAAACATTCAAAAATCAAAAGGAAATTCAGAGTCCCATAAAAACCCAGCAAAGTGGAGGTATGTTACCTGGAAAGGTGACTTCTCAGACTGTCTGCGAAGGCTCTGAAACACTCACTGTCTATGAAGGTTACCAGGGTAACTCAAAGAATTTTGAGGGACTTGATGATGTCACAATGAAAAAGCCAACTGAGATAGCTGAGATTGGCTTAGACCAGGTTTTTAAAAAAAAAATTATTTATCTATTTATATAAAAGCCAGCATTATACAGAGAGGAAGGAGAGACAGAAAGAGAGAAAGAAGAAAAGTCTTCCATCTTCCCCAAATGGCCCCAACAGCCAGGGCTGGGCCAGGCTGAAGCCAGGAGCCAGGAACTTCATTGGAGTTTCCCACGTGGGTGGAGAGGACCAAGCACTTAAGCCATCCTCCACTGCTTCTCCCAGGCACATAGCAGACAGCTGGACTGGAAGTAGAGCAGCTGGAACTTGAACCTGCATTGCAGGCAGCGGCTTTACCTGCTGTACCACAACGCTGGCCCCAGACCAGGTTAGTAAAGATAGGTGATACTTATAAGTTCAAAAGCAAAACAAAATATAACAAAGGGTTGCAGATGTTATGAATTAAAATATCCAGTGGTTACTAAGGGAAAAAAAGACTGATTTTACAGGAGCAGTATTAGAGTAACAAGGAGATATAAGAGAAACTACTGAAAAGTAGGTCACTACAATTGCATTTTAAAAAAGAAAAGGAAAGAAAAAATGTTCCAGGAAATGTAAAGCAAGGACCATACCAATTACCTAAACAACCATAAAGAAACAATCCCAGTATCCATCTATCTATCTATCTATGATATATATATATTCATGTATATGTATGATTTCAATATAAATGAATTTTCACTGTCAGAGAAATCTGTGGATTTCACAGGTCATCTTTATCATATTTTCGTATTCACTATTGTTTTATCTAAACTTTTCTCTTTTACGTAATAAATAAATTTAAATTTGAGGGCCCAGTGCTGTGGAGTAGCCAGTAAAGCCACCACCTGCAGTGCCGGCATCCCATATGGGTGGCAGTTCAAGTCCTGGCTGCTCCATTTCTGATCCAGATCTCTGCTATGACCTGGGAAAGCAGTGGAAGATGGCCCAAATGCTTGGGCCCCTGCACCCATGTGGGAGACCTGGAAGAAACTCCTGGATCTGGCTTTGGATCGGCGCAGCTCCAGCCATTGCAGCCAGTTGGGGAATGATCCAGCAGATGGAAGACCTCTCTCTCTCTGCCTTTCCTTCTCTCTCTGTGTAACTCTGACTTTCAGATAAATAAATAAATATTAAAAAAATTTTGATGCAAGACAATACCTTACCTTGCCTGTCCCGATTAAGAGCTGGTAATTTCTCATTTGTTCTGTTGAAATGTTCTACAGCAACTTTCAAACTGCAGCACTTTATCAACTCTTTGAATGAGCTTCACATCTCCTTTAGGAAAAGAAGAATGTATGAGGTGATTGACAGAGGCACTCACGTGGGCCAGAGGACCAGCTGGTGGCTATGCAGCCTGAAGCACACAAGGTTCATGTTGCAGTCCTGGCTGGCCACACCCACAGCTCACAGCTCCACCAGCTCCACCCCTGCCAGGTGCGGTCCCTGCTTCTCATTCACATCCTAGGCAGCCCTGTGCCTGCCAGAGCCCAAGTCCCAAGCCCTGCCCTAGTGTTGAGGAAGGCGGGAAATGGCAGAATCAGTATTTTCAACTTCCATTAGGACAAGTAAGTGTGGCCCCATAAAGTGAGATATCTCCCACACACAGGCAGGGGCCAGTTCAGACGCTGGGCAGCCCAAAGCCATGACCAGTGTCCACAAGCAGACGAGGGAAAGCCATCTGGAAACAGGGCTGTCCTTTGTTGTGGGGTAAGGAAGGCACAGAGGCTGCACTCGGTGTTTGTCTAGGGAGAAAGTGCAGCCCCAGGTCTGTCCAAGTTCCCCAATTGCACTGACCTGGGTGCTGAAGTCTTGCCTTGGCCACTGCTTCTCCATTCTGGGAGGGTCACAGCAGCCGTTGTGTCATTACCAAGCCAAATGTGCAAACTCCGTGCTGGGGGGAAGAGGAGAAGGAGGGAGAAGGGGCAGGGTGAAAATGGAGCTGAGAAAAGGCAGCCCCTCCCCACACCCCCGCAGGTGGTGGACCTCACTGCCCCCCAGCCACCTGCTCACCCAGAAGGAGTGGGGGAGGGGGTGCTCGGGGTGCTAACACTAGTCCTCCACTACGGCTGAGTCTTTACCTGGAAGGGCCCTGGCTGCCAGGGGATGGCCTCACCTAGTCACACCTCACAGTCCCCCTGACAGCCAGAGCAGCTGGTGGAACTAAACCATGGAGATGGGGGTGTCTATTTCACCAAGGACCCTCTGCCTTTCCCTTTCTCCTGGATGAAGCCTCCCTGACCCTGACCTCTGACCCCCTAGCCCCCTGACCTCTAGACCAGCAGCTTGGCATCATTCTAACTCCTCCTCTGAGTATCCCTGGCATGTACTGAATTATTGCATGTATTCATTTGATGCATGTTTTGCATATGTCTTGAAACTCCATGAAAGTAGAAATTCTCCTTTATTTCAAGGTACAACTCTAGGGTGTAATGTTGGTTATGATCACGTTCCATCCTAGAATGTAAAATTCAGTTCCAAAGACTTATCAGTCATAACGCTGCTCATGCTGACTGATTGCTCAGTACCTATCAGAAAACAAGCATTTGTATTCTTTCTGCCCAATATTTATCAGTAGCTCAGGTATAGAAATCAGTGTTTACAGAGATCTGTCAGTACATTTTTTTTTGAAAATTTATTATTTGAAAGGTGGCATTACAGAGAGACAGGGAGAAAGAGAGATCCTCCATCTACTTGTTTACTCCCCCAATGGTCACAATGGCCAGGGCTGGGCCAGGCTGAAGCCAGGAGCCAGGAGCTTCACCTGGTTCTCCCATGTGAGTACAGGGGCCCAAACACTTAGGCCATCTTCCGCTGCTTTCCCAGTTGCATTAGCAGGGAGTTGGATGGGAAGTGGAGCAGCTGGGACTCAAATCAGCATTCATATGGATGCTGACATCGTAAGCAGCTTCACCCACTGTGCCCAGTACATTTGTTTTTCCACATCAAAACCCATGAACTGGCATCCCAAGGCTGAACTTGGTGCTCTAATTAGAAGTATTTCATTTGATCCTTAAGGTGTTTCCAAGGGTGACTTGGGGGCACCAGATCTGGTACTCACCACCAGGCTGATTCCTGCCTATCACATCCCAGTGGCACTCATTCCATTGATCCCTCCTGCTTAGATGTGCTAATATGTTATGCTGCCTTCCCTGGTCTCTTTATCTGGCACCGTGCCAACTTGCCTTCCCTGAACTGAGATTAGATGGCGAGCCCACAGCCAGCACAAAGGGTGCGAGACAGTCCTGTGTGAGACCCTGTGTTCTGAGGGTGGCTTTGATGACGGGATCCTCAAAGCAAGGAGCCTTTGGAAGGATCCATGGAGACATCTGAGCCAGGAACACAGAGGCCCCTCCTGATTCATGGAGTTCTCCATTGGGTGAGAATGTTGCTGTCCTTTTTCCATATCATACAGCCACTTGCACTGTAAATTTACAGGATTTATGGAGTTCCATGAAAATCTCCATGCAATCTCCTTGCTAAGATGTAGTTCTGGGTTTTCCTACAGTCTGGGGCATCTGCAGAAAACCATCTGAGCCTCAGGAACGTATTTCAGGTGAGAACCATTCCTCTGCCCTCACTCCTGTCCATCTTTTTACTTCCATTTTTTTTTTAACTCAG